ACAACTACTCTTAACCAAATAACGGGACTGAATGTCACTGTTATAACGCGCCCACAGTGGAAAGTGCGAAGGGTGTTCAGCGCCATATCGCCTGCTCAAACCTTGAACGTTTTGATCCGTACTCCGTCATGCCAACCATAAGGTCACATGGGGCCCACTCTGGTTTTAGAATGTTTTAAAAAAGTTATTGTCATCCCCCTTTTTTATTCAAAGAAAATTTCACTTCTTAATGAAGGGCTGAACGTGGCCTGGCAGCTAGCGTGCTAGGATTTGGAATCCAAAGATTCATGGCTCGCGTCCCGTTGAAGCCTGAAACGTGTTCCGTACTTTGTGGCAGTGAATGTGCTATAAGAGTGACGGTCATACCTCAAGAGTTGGCGGTGAGTGCTGCTTTCCTCTCTAGTTTAAAGTTTCAAAATTAGGGACAATGATGAGCCAATAGCTTTTATGTAGCTTTGGGTGAAATTTCTAAATACAACATCAACATCTTATTCAAGTACATTTTTATTTTATTTTTATTTTTGGATGTTAGAGCATACTGTTGTTACCAAAGTTTTTATCATTATATTGCAATTCAGTTTTTTATCATCTTTCTGGGAACATTAAATGATATGAAAAGAAATATCTTATAATATGATAGATATTCTATTTGGTGGTAACTTGAAAGTGATTATCGGTATAGATTATATCCTGTTATCTTGTGTTCCAAAAATCGGTTAATATTCATTTGTCTTCTTGCAACTAATGACGTCACTTTATAAGAGTAACCTCGAAGGTCTGTTCTAACAATTACTGATGTGTTTCTGTATCGTTGTACTTCTTTTACAACTAGGCCTTGCAGAAACTTTACGAAAGCTTCTCTCGAAAGAGCCCCCCAGTGGCACAGCGGTATGTCTGCGGACTTACAACGAAAGAATCCGGGTTTCGAAACCCTTGGTGGGCAGAGCACAGATAGCCCATTCTGTTGCTTTGTGCTTAACTTCAAACAAACTCTCGAAAGAAGATGCTGTAAACGTAAACTGGAATATAAAAATTAAAAAAAATGTCACGTGAACAAAAGCTTTACCTCATTCTCGCGATTGTGCAATACGTCATTTTTTTAAACTTCCAATGGTTTTAAATAGGAGTTGAGAGTATTACTAAAACTTTTTGAACATAAGAAAACGGTAGTTTTGTAGCCAAAATAAAGAAAAGAATAAACGAAACTATTATACGATTTTTCTACTTACCTAGACTGCTCATTGTGCATGAATTAAAAATGATAAACGTGTTGCTCTATCCTAGACATTGTACACCTCTAGAACAATCTGTCAAAGTTTCATTCAAAAGCTTTACTCGTGTTTGATTCTAGAGCTGCGCAAAGTTTGCTAGACAATTTCCAAATTTTCAGTGTCCCTAATATTTGTTTAGCAAAAAAAAAAACATATTAGCGCAAGAAGTTTTTCTTGGTGGTTTGAATTTGAACAGGGAAGTTTAATGTGCACCCTTTGGCAAAGTTTAATTGTTACAACTTTAAAATGTGATTTGAAATGGTTTTTAAAATACCTTTTATTTTGCTATTATTTGCCCTAAAGGAAGTAATTCCAATAGTAAGCATCGTGATGTGCAGTAGGAATCATTAAATTAGACGCTTGTAAGGCGAAGGAAGTAATTCCAATAGTAAGCATCGTGATGTGCAGTAGGAATCATTAAACTAGACGCTTGTAAGGCGAAGGAAGTAATTCCAATAGTAAGAATCGTGATGTGCAGTAGGAATCATTAAGTTAGACGCTTGTAAGGCGAAGGAAGTAATTCCAAAAGTAAGCATCGTGATGTGCAGTAGGAATCATTAAGTTAGACGCTTGTAAGGCGATCACCTAGTGACCAAAGCCAGCAGATCCTTACTTTCACTTTCACAAATTTTACAGTATGTGTTAGTTCTAGAGCTAGAGGGATGAAGTAAAGAATTCAATCTGTGTTTACTTATCTGAAGCAGTTACTTACTTCTTTTTCGTGGTAAATAAATATTTATTCCAGAATGCATGCCACGTTAATGGTGAAGGAGAAAGAACATCGATTAATTGTTTGTTTTTGAATTTCGCGCAAAGCTACACGAGGGCTATCTGCGCTAGCCGTCCCTAATTTAGCAGTGTAAGACTAGAGCGAAGGCAGCTAGTCATC